TATTTAAACATGAGTTGCATGCAGCAACAAGAAATAAAAGCATAACCTTCTACATTACGCTGTACATGTCAGGTATTAGACAGTTCATCTCTGACCTGAAGGTATGTCAGTTACCGACAGCCACTGTACTGACACTTCACTCATTAAGTCTGAAGTTGCCGATCCAACACCAGTTCAAATAATATATACACAGTTATAAATCTTTCACTGGTATTAAATGGGCCAACATACATACCTACAACAATTAGTAAACATTCAAGGATTTTACATCATGAAACAGCACTTATTGTGTAAGGTGGTGAATATAACCAGGAGTTACAGGAGGGTTGCTACTGGCCATAATTATCAGAAAACAGCGAGCCAAATTCAAGCATTAATCCAGAAATTCCACCCTCCCCCCCAAAAAAGTTTCAATAAATATAAAACAATTGCCCACTCACATGGACAAGTAAATTGCACAGACAAGTACCTGGCTCAAGACAAAATTTTATCATGCTTTTTTTATCATAATACAAGTAATGTGGCCTCTTTTTAGAAGCAATCAAAAATTCTCTTTCAGTTTACAAATTTAAAAAAAAATTAATAATAAAATGCATGATTCAAGCACCACAAAAAAATAAAACATGTTTAATACTGGAAAAAAGTTACCACAGCATTGGCCTGAGATTTTTCCCAGTAGAAAGGAAAAACAAGGGAAACTGTTAAATGCACTTTTATATTCATTAGTCTGCCAAACCCTATAGAGGTCAGGTTTTCCCACGTAAAGACAAACATCACAAAGGTATCACCTTCTTGACATAGTAGACAAAAATTCAAATTTTTTAAGACTAAAAAATATGGTAAAAACATGATTTTTTTCCTACAAACACAGCTACTGCAAATTAACAGGATCTTACATGCACAATTGCACCAAAAATAATCATCTACTGTAGAAAAAAGGACAAAATAGAAGGAATGACAACCATTTTACATCAGATAATTTAAGAAACAAAATGCAGATATCATATTTATAAAGTGAACACCACAGGGACGTTTGTTTCTCAGATGTTCCACAAGTTTTGGTACTCTTCTGCTTCAACTCTGAAGAACAAGTTATGCAGTTCATTTTGCTTAAGTCTTTGAAGTCTAACGTGATAAATTATAATTCATAATTGTCCTCAACATTTATGTCCACCACAGAAGGATAAAACAAATTGTTCTAGTACAAAATTTATTAATATACCCATCCAAATTCAAAAACATTTGAGCATAACATACAAGCTATGTGGAAGAAACAAATAAAATTTGTTTACCTAGGCTGAGGAAAAATGCAAGAGTACCAATTCAATCACATATCACATTTTTCATTAGTCTATTGCAATTTTTAGGTAGGTCTAATGTGGATACATAACCTACTTTGCAGTACAACTTTATGACAAGATAATATACTAAGTCATTGTTCCAAGGACAGGGTTATGACGACATATGCTTGGTCCATACTCTTGATAGTCAGCTTTGGTGTGACAAACTTCATAGTACTCAGGCTGAAAGAATACAATGTAAATCAACTCCACATATACCATCCACATATGATCTTTTGTTAAAATATAGTAAAAATGAACTTACAGTTGAGGCAAGCATGCTTCCACCAAACCATACAGCATAACGTTGCATATGATGAGTGACAACTTGTACATCTATGGGCTTTGGCTGAAAGAACATCAATTCTATTAATATTTTATAAAATAGAAAGATAGATTTCATACTTTTGACAGAGTGGTTCGTACTTACAGTGATTCGCCCGCCACTTAGACTTTCACTAAGCTTCAACCGAGCATCTACATTACGTTTAATATCTCTCTGAAGCCTTCGTCCAAAGTCTCTGAACATAGTAGATCCTCCTGACAACACTATATTGTTGTATAACGGCCTTCTTACATCAATAGGACAGTTCTGAATAACTTGGTCCACAGTTTCCGATAAGGGAATAGTAAAATCAGGGTTGGAGAACTGAAAATAATAAAACAGTTATTGGACTAGGAACTAATCAGCAAGCAAACCATGAGTTTTTTTAATTTAACAAAATTTACCTCAGGATGGAAGAAAATCTCAGGGCCAAGGAATCTTTCATAACCAACATCAACTGAAAAAGGCTGCTTGGTTACAGAATTGACACCTTTGAACTTTCTCATCCATTTTGAGGGGTCAGAATCATATTTTGCAAACTCTTTTGCAATATCAGGACAGATATAACAATGGCGTTCCTTTATTGCTTTGGCAGTTTCCAGGGATTGTTCAGGAGGAATTCCAACTTCTCTTTCACGGAGCAATGATTGAATAAAATAGGTGATATCCCTGCCTGCTATAGGTATATGCTTGATGCAACTCCCAATCACATACCCCTCAGCCTGAAAGAAGAGAGACAGTGGAACTGATATGTTTCAAAATATGTCTAAAAAGCCATAACATATCCAGAACATACCACCGGAATAACGTGTGTTACACCATCACCACTGTCAACAACAATACCAGTTAGGGTTCTTTCTTCGATAGGTCTTGATGCCCATGAAGCAGCAAGAGCTAACACTGCCTGAACAGCAATGTATAACCCTGGCACATTGAAGGATTCAAACATAATTTCTGTAGAGTGAAAGAAAAGAAAAGGATATTAGTTATTTATAAGCTACCCCAAAAAATAACTAAAACTTGAAGAGACTGGTATAATAAACCATCCATGGTTGACATTAATTCTTAATTTTTGTAAGTACTGACCAGCAAGGTATTCTCTGTTTTCGGGGGTGTTTAAGGGTGGTTCGGTGAGCAAAAAATGGTGGTCTTCTGGCTCAGCACGTAAATACTTGAAAATACATTGCTCAAGGAAGCGTTCCATCAAATTCCAATCTTCAACTAACCCATGCCTCACAGGATACTAAATTATTTTATGAAGTGAAAACAAAAGGGCATTAATAAACTTTAAATGATAGCATTATAAAGAAAATCAATCACAAGTTTTATCAGATAAATAAATACCTTTACTGCATATCCTGTAGCATCGAATGCTTCATCACCAATAAAGAAATCCAAATCTTCAACACCTTTAGCTAATCTGCGAATTGCCTGATCACCAACCTTTGCTGATTCCCTGATGGCAATTGCTGATGGGATTATAAACTGAGGTTCTTTGTTGGGAGCAAATCCTAATTTAGTGTACCTGATCAGAAAAAAAATAAATTATTACGTATCAGCAATGAATAGAATGTACAGAGGAAAGTGAACAGCAAATGGTGCAATTATTTATTTATTTTAAATAGAGCTGTTACAACATCAACAAAGGAAATGGGCGATTTAAAAATCACAATTTTCAAGTAAAATGATGCAGAGGTGGGGCGTTAGGGCATGTTCTATGTGATTTAGACCCTAACACAATTGACAATACATCTAATCTAATGTCATGAATTCCTAAGAGTGACAGTTAGTTCTACAATCGGTAAGAGTAACTTGTGTGAGTATTTGAACAAACTTCACAAAACTTCACTTATCTATGGGTGGGCGGATGCGGATGATAAGATAACATAACCTTAACAGTTGAGAAATGTTAAAACTTTGTTAAGTTCAAATAATAACAGCGCCAAAGAGTCAGCGAGGGAACCAGGACGGAACTGCCTTTTTAGAACATCAATAATGTAAAAAAATAAAAGACTGAATGGCAGAAGATAATTCATAAACGATGTGACACAAAATCACGAAAGCGGTTGCCGATATTTTTCCGGTTTTACAATTTACTTACCCCGTCCCCACATCAATGACACACGCAGGTAATCTACCTGTCATGTTTTCAATTTAAAAATTACCCCTTGTGCAAGAGGAAAGATAGTTATTACAGAATAAATTTACAAACTTCTCTAACCACACCTAAATTGTTGACAGATTGCTCATAACCGTGGCCATGTTTTTTTGGGACAAACAACTGACATTCGGATGTTGAACCGTGCTTTTTGACGTAACACAAAATTATGCAATTTCTTTGTTAAAATTCAATAAGAGCCTGAGAATTTCGATTTGAATTATATTTTAACGAAAACATAGAGTCCTCAATAATTTTTTTGCAAAAAATGTTCATATAGATTAAATATTTTATTGCTCTATTAATTTGTTCGAGCAGCCATGTTGGCAGTAGTATACTCCCTGTTGTTTTGAATTCTGTCACCGGTTGTGCACCGCTTGGAAACGGTTCTAGATTTTTAGTTATTTGAGTAAATTGTAAACAGAAGAGGCATTTTACAAAAGTGGCAGAGACAACAATAAGTGGTGGCTGACACAAATTTCAGGTAATTTCCAAGGTCTCTATTTGTGGTATCCTTGTAAGTATGATGTCACATAATGTGAGACCGCATACTCATATAACCTTTGTGACAAATGCCTATGTTTGTTGTCCGCATTTCCTATGTAATTAATGTTTAATGTTCTCTTCATTTTCAGCTTAACATGAATAGCACTGTTTGCCAAACTCCGCCTAGTCAAGGACTCCTGAGTGCTGAATTGCGATCATTGATAAACGAAAGGAACATATTGACAACAAAGACTCGTATCAAAGGTATATTCCCAACTGCTATTCCTCTGGATTTTCATCTAATACAATACTTTTATTTCTTGTCCAGTCCTCTATTTCTTCTTCTTTGTTATTGTAGTTTTGAGTGATCTGGATGACGTGAGCCGTGATACTCACCGTTTGAAACAAGATGAAAGAGAAAGACATTTACGAGCCAATGCAATTCAAGAAATTTTGACGTCTGAGGCTTCTTACCTTCAGCAACTTGAGACTATCATGAAGGCATGTTTTTACTGAGACATGTTTGAAATTCCTCTCATTGAACTATGTTATGTTAATCTAAGAAATTGTTGTTCTACATCCTTAGTTCTTTATGGAACCTCTGAGGGTCAAAGACTTTGTCTCTCAAGCAGAATGGAATGCATTATTTGGCAATGTTGAGACTTTGTATAAAGTTAATGGAGCTCTATTGGATGAGTTAAAAGTTAATCCTGAAAATGTTGCCGCAGCCTTTTTAAAGCTGGCACCTTATTTTAAACTATACTCAGTTTATGCTTATGACTATAAGCAAATTGTTAGCATTTTGCAGGTAATGTTTCACCCATATCTCTTCTATATAAAGATAGGAATGTTTTAAAGTTTTGTTGTTAGTTACTATATGTTCTGTATTTTGACAGGAAGTGCATCGAAGTAATCCAAAACTTGCTACCTTCATATCAGGACAAGAGACTCGCCCTGAAGTGAGCAACAAACTGGCAGCACTCTTAATTGTGCCTATTCAGCGTATTCCTCGCTACCGTTTGCTCCTGCAGGAAGTACTGAGTCACACCACCCCATTTCAGCAAGATTATTATACTCTCCAGAGTATGTTCTGACCCAACTATTTTTTAATTAATCCCACTCAATTACTGCTAAAAATTACATGTGTTGATTATCCCTGTTTAGATGCTCTCCAAGAAGTGGAAAGAACAGCTAGACACATTAATGGACTAGTTCAAGAACAAGAAAATATGGAGAAAATGATTCAGCTCCAGAAAAGTTTACATCATGGTAGACCTGGAATAATCACTCCAGGCAGAAAATTCATCAGAGAAGGAATTTTGATGAAGGTATAAATTTTCAAGCAGAATTTCCCATGAAGCTGTTTAGTATTACCAGTAATCATGTTCAATATTGTGTCATCAGGTCTCATCAAATGGTAGAAGACCCTTGCCTCGGTACTTTATTTTATTCTCCGATATGCTTATCTACTGCATTATTAGATCTGGTAAAACACCCTCTCAACCAGGGGCCTTAAAGTGTTGTTGTGTGCTACCTCTCAAAAGATGTATAGTTCAACCAGTAATGAGTCAAGGTGTTCTTCGGTTATCATGCCATGGAGAAACTTTAATCTTATTCTCTGCTTGTGTTGATGACACTAAAAAGTGGCTTGAAGCACTTCAGCAAGCTTTGAAACAGGTACTTCATCCGAAATATGCTTGAAATTTATTTGGTCAAAGTTAGCATTTTAAAATGTTTTTTATGCTGAACAGTATCATGCCAATTTAAATACTTTGCGGAAAGATAGCAGTGCAAGACGCCCAATGCGACGTAGAGACATTCTCAACGCTACGCATGAAAGTCCCAGTCAACTTGTGATGTCATCAAACCGGAAGCGACCTCATGCTGACCATGATGTAAGCCACCTTATACTTTTCTCCTCTCTCTCTCTTGTAGTTTTTTTGATCATTATTACTATGGGAGGGAGGCATTCCTAATTCTAATGGTTTATTGCAATTCCTATCTACAGGATCAGATTACAAGCCCTCAAATAACAATTTCATCACCAACCCCAGGCAATTTGTTGACACCAGACACTCCTGACCAGAGAATGCAGAGCTGTTTTCCAGATTGTAGACCTATCAAGGTGAAGCGGTTGTTATCACATTTTCAACAAGCTCCCCCTCCTTCTGTTACTCCTCTGGTGAGCATTTAATATTTTGACTTTAACCATCGAAATCTGCTCATGTAAAAGTATTTACCAACACTTATGTTATCATGCAATTATTTGAAAATTTCAGAAGCCCACCATTTCTTATCCTCTTCGGAGCAGCCTCAGGACAAGAAATGCATCCTCATGTCGAGATGAGCGTCGCAGAGTCACAGTAAGAGACAATGGGTCAATTCTGTATCATGTATCATAGTAAATAATTGAAAACAATTTATTACTATATGAATGTTTGTGGTCATTGCAGATTATTTCACCTCGAGGCACTGTGTCTGGAAAAGGTAGCTACAACCAGGATGATCATGGAAATGGTTGTGCTGATAAACTTGCAACAGCATGTCAGTCTACTACAAGGGAGCCTGTTGCTGAAAGTGGGGATTCATCAAAGATTTTATGTGATAATGTTGGGGCACTGCAAAAACCCTCAGATGAAGAAAGCTCTAGAGCTGGAAATGATGATTCAGGTAAAGAAAACACTGTTGTGGCCTCATGGTCACCTTTTGCTGGAATTCAAGGTATTGGAAATTTGGTCATGGGCATTCACAAGGCCTTAAGAAGGTCTTTGAGACGCTCTCTGTTCAGATTTACTCCTGAACTCCACCTTCAGTAAGGTCACATTCTGGATACTAAGTGCATTAGAGGAAATGCTAGCAATGAACCATTGCTGACATTGCTTCTAACTACAATGTGTTAATCTGTGATAGTGGATTTTTAGGAAAGCTAGTGATTCCTGTGGTAGCTTCCTTACATCCCGTATTCTATGAATTTCTGCCACACTTGTGGGAGACATGTTTCCCACCAGAGCTTAGTCAGTCACTTACAAGACTTTTGTTTGCGACAAAAATCTCTCTAGTTCCTGGCCTGTGGTGGGAAGCACGTCACCCTAATATGTCAAATGTACTACTTTTATTTTTCATTGGCATTGTCTATTTTGATTTGAGAATCATGGTATTGTAATTACTTTTTTGACTCATTTTCTCACTTGGACTGTTATTTCTGTTGTGCATTTGTTTGCAAGAAATTGACTGAATTTTAATAATTTATTAAAAACTTACCAATACAACAAATCAAGGATAAAATCTTTGCTTTGTTGGTTCTTATTATTAAGCTCTTTTTTGGAACTGTTTTATTGTGAACTGATTGGTCATGAAATTTCCAAAGTTTTCAGTTTTTCCATGAAAGAATCGACCCGTTGCTTTGACACAGGCATTGTCCACCTATTTTGAAAAAGGAAACATTGATAAGATAATACATAATCATGTTTAGTTTGGGTTTCTAACTTTTTAAAAATAATATAAGATGTGTTCCACTTACTTTCCATTCTCTTTGAAATGAGTGCCAACGATAGCACCATTGGCATAAGGAAGATATTTCTGTAAATTTTGTATATTTATGCCAGATCCAATTAAAACAGGTAATGAGGTATGAGCTGCAACCCCTAAAGTAATTTTGAAAAAGCTGAATTAGATACCAAAAATTTCTGTTTTTGCCAATGCTTAGAAAGTGGAATTTTTAAAAGAAAAATTCACCTTTTACTTGGTCTTCATCTGCAGCATGACCTGTTGCAACACCTGTTATTATAAGTCCATCACTTAAAAAAAATTCTGCTGCATGTGCAGTTTCTTCTACACTAACATCTGCTGTAATTGCATGGGAGCTGAAATTTTTTTGAGGAGTGGTCAGAATTGTTCAAAGCATTAGCTAAGAAAATTTTACAACTATCAGTTTTACCTATGCTTTTTCTTTATATCTGTGAAAATTTGTATTTGCTCTGCATTAATAAATCTTCTGTATCTCAATAACTGGCCAGCACAGCCATCAATGAAACCCTCATCAGCAACATGGCTAAAAACAAAACCCTCACAGCGGACAAATTGTAAGTTTGATGCTTGGGCTGTTGCAATTGCTTCTTGATTTGCCCCCGCCAACACCTGTGAAGTAAAATATTTTGTTTTGCTTCTGATGTTGAAGAACAAAAAAAATTAAATTGATATCAGAAAAAGTCTGCCATAAATAAGATTTGACTGTACCTGTACACCGCAAGGAATCTGGTTAGGAATAATTTTACGGACTTCAGAACAAACACGTGTCATCACTGCTACTGTTTCAGGAGAAAGATGTTGGTGGCGCAAGTATGGGATATCATGCATATTTTCCAACAACACACCATGCTTAAACAGAAAAGTTGAAGGCATTCTGAGTGCTCATTTTGAACTGTGGTATAGCTGCGTGGTGATCAATTGTGGAGAACATACCACCGAGCTGTTGGCGTAAATTTCAGCATCCTTACATGCCTTGGCAATTATCTTTTCTAGTGATCCTGCATACATCGGGGTACCTATTCAATCAAAAGGCAGTTTCTAAATTCACCCGTGTGTCGGAAAAGAAGCATAGAAATTTATTCACATAGAGCATGAGAAGCCTTGAGTATCTGTGGTGTTACTCTCGGTGTGTCATACTAGATGAGTTTTGAGACAAGGTTTTGTGTGTTTCATACATCCAAGGATATTATACATTTATGTAATTTCGTTTCTGTGAACATCGTCGCGCTGCGGTGCTACGTGCTGGGCGGCACGCGTGTCCCCGCCACGCGCGTGACACTTCCCCCCGCCCCTGCCCCTGCCCCCGCCCCGCCCCACCCCACCCCTTCCGCCATCCGCCCACTTCGAGAGTCAGGTCCTGGCCCCCCAGTCCACGCGCCTCGGCCTCGCCCTCACGCCGCGGAAAGGGTTGCCGGTCCGCGAACCCGTGCCGCGAGGTGAACGCTGAATTTCGCCGCGAAAAAGTGAAAATGCAGATAACGCGGTGTGGAAATGCGTGTGCGCCCGCGTCGCGTGACGTACGTCGAGCCGCCCCAGCCGCCCCCCGCAGCGCGTGTCGAAACCATATGGAGAGAAGGTTAAGTGCCCGGTGGCCATGCTTTGGCCATGCCCAACGCCCGCAGGGCACCCGCCTACATTCGCCCAGTCCCGACGCGCTTTCGCCAAGTGACGTCAGCAGCCGGCGGACTGATAAAACGAGGCTTCAGTCCCAGCACAGGATAGTGACAAAAATAAGGAGCAAAATGTACCTGGCAGTGCGGCAACATGGATCATGCCGATAACAGCAAATCGGACACCCCCGAACAGCTGGTGGAAGCGGTTCATGGCTCAGGCACAGGCGAGTCTCAAAGAAACGAAAACGTTGCTTCAGCGGATGTCCGCGTCCTCTTTGATTCTTCCTCTTGTTTGTGTTTTCTGTGTGCTTGAATTTCCTAGAAATGCGTTTCACGTCCCCCACATCCATATATGTATGCCAAGTGTTGCGGAGGGGCTGGGGGTTGGGGTAGCGAACACCCTACTGATGAGAAATTAGGCTTTCAACTAGGTGGTTTCGGTCATTCGCGTCTGTCAGTGAGTGCACTGCGGGGGAAGTCCCAGGTTTTGTGGTAGATCTCCATAGAGTAGCAGTGAATGTGATCTTGATTAGGTTGAATAATTCATCAGGTTTAAGTAATATTCAACATTTTTATTTCTTTATGATAGTTTTATGATTTTTATGATCTTTTCCTCATTTAGAGCATGAAGAACATCATGAGAATGTCAGTGATACATTTGCATGGTTTGCATATTTTCCAATTATTTCTTATTATAAAGACTGCATGTATCTGAAGAAATACAGGAGCACAGGTACCATTGTATTGGACTGGATTCTCTCAAGTTATCACTGCAGTTACTTACAGAAAGAACAAACAAACTGAAGAGCAAAAATTTAAAATCAACTAACAATCAAATAATCTCTTATGAAGTATATGTTTTGATTCCCGCCTAGATTTTTGTTTCCTTTTTAACATAGTACATTACATAATACTTCCGCTATGGTTATCCTCTCCTCACAAGGCTATTATTACCTTGTAGAGAAATTAAGGGCTGGTGACAAAGTGCAGGCATATCTATGTTACATTTATCTTATGTGTGGGTTTTTTCGGTTCACTATATACACAAGTACACACGCATACACACACTTAAAAAGAAAACAAAAATCTCTTTGAAAAGCAGTAATTCCCTGATGAGAAAAGTAAAAATCTCAGCTGAAGTGGATTATGCTAAATTAACTTCCTCTGTTGAAAGTCAACTTATTAAACAGCACTTGTCTGGATCTCAAAATTTATAACTATACATGTCTACATTTTACATACACATATATTTTTAATGGTATATGATTTTCTGTTTGAAAAGCTCAAGTAAGTTAATGGAAAATTGATTTGAATATTTGCAATATACTCATTGTTGCAAGTATTATTGTAATAAAAACTATACAGTTTGACTTACAACATAAATAAATAAATAAAAACTCAGTCCATCACACATTGTGCATGAAACATTATTGCAAAAATAGTAACTTTACCTGTTTTCTCCCTTCTTTGCGTGAAGTATTAATGCTAACGCATATATTGAAAGAGCACTCAAACAGAAACAACAACAAAACAAAAAAAAGACCATGGAGAAAGGCTTTGCTGAGTTAAGTATGTATCATGTTATTACTTTAAAGTTGAAAAAGAGAAATTCTACCTTCCTGAATATGATTTAAATAAATAAAAAGGGTGGGATTAAGATAAGAGATAGATTCAATTCATTCACTATTAGGTTTTTTTGGAAGGTTTTTTTGAATTTCATTTTATCAGTGCTCTGCTTTTGAAAGACAGCACACTTTCATTTCCAGTGGAAGTGAAAAACGCCTCATGCCTGATCAAGACATGACATTTTTTTTTTAAAACCCTTCCATGCTCGAAAGAAAATCATCTGCCATGAAACGAACAGTTTTAGGGGTATATGCAGATAAACTTCTGAATCATAGCCTTTGCACAGTGATAGATTTAAAAAGGACTTAACATTTACATGCACCTTAATATCAACACAGCACATTCACTCATCTACAGAGGCTAACACCTATTCATGTCCTATTCATGAACTAAATGGTATTTCTTTCTTCTTAGACATTTTTTTTCACATTTTGTCCTAAGTACCCAGTTATGAAAAAAAAATCACGATGTAAGCAGTAATCTGCATGGTTTCTACGCTTTCATCTTATGCCTCTGTTTTCATTACTTTCACACAATGCATTCTTGCATTCTTTCACTCCCTGTACAGAAGGTCAAGGCTCATAGAGCTTATAAATCATTTTGCGCCAGAGAAAATACTATTCAAAACCACATGTGCACACGTGGACTTGAATCAACCAATCAATGCGAGACTTGATGATATTTTTCAGACTATTTTGTTAAGTACTACGACTTAATATTTTACAAATGTAATAACATAAGCGATCAGCAGTGGGGGTCTGTGGTGTTCCTATATGCTGCCTGTGATTTTGAATGTAACTCTCCAGCTTGACAGTTTTCTATACAGCAAGATTTGGTATCTCAACTTTTTAAAATAGTTACTCGTCACAGTATCAATTTATAAAAGTTCTCACAATTAATGGTGTGCTTAAATCTATATAAAACATAATGAGATGACACAATCCTTCATTGATTTGAAGGACTTTGTGAAAGCTAATTACAATGACAGTTAATGATATCACAAACCAGGCTAGGCTAGATCTAGTATTTTGGCTTTTGGCTGTTGCTGGGCAAGGAGATGAAGACCTAAGTAATCTACATTATTTATCAGCAAGGCCTTTAAAAAAAGCTCTTTGATTCATTTTTCAATACTGAAGGTATAAATGTTTGAAACTGAAATCTTGAAACTTGCATTTTTATACATTATTCTATTCTCCTTTCAGGTGGGCATAATAGCAGCCTATTACTGTTACAGGGAGCCAGTTTTCAGTGACTTACTATATTGGGTACCCAGCGTTTTAAATGAATTAAAAAACAAAACAAGTATATCAAAGCAAACTTAAAAACTATAAAATAATTTCTACGTAACTCATATTAAAAAATAGCACTGCTTTTCATGCAGTATCTCTTATAAACACCAAAACAAGAAAAAAGATAAATACTCCTCATATGAGGCAGGAGGTTACACAAGCACTATCAAGTGTACTTGAGAAGCAAAAGGGTGGAGAAAGAGTAGTTGAAAGCTCTTATTGTAGAACACTACAATGTTGCATAAAATAAGAAAGGAAAGTGGAAGAATTGCGAGGCCTAAAGATGTCTTCACATTAATTGACAAAGGCTGCCAGTTTGGTGTTAAACCAACTCATGACAACTTCATTGTCTGAAGTCAATGGTTAGATTTTATTTTTATATTTTTTTCTAGTAAATGAACATTGAATTAATGTGAGAAAGATTGTGAAACGCTCAAGCTACCCACCCATGCTATTGAAATAATAAAAAATTGATGTGACAAGTAGCATGTGAGTAAGTGGCTACAGGCTAAGCAGTTAGCTAGTGTCTTACAACTAAGTGCTAGTCCTATTATATGTTCAGTGAGCGTCCCGGGGAATTCAAAATTTTTGTTTCTACTCATCTCGTACTTCATCTTCTAAGATTCTCAGTATGATAGAGATTGACATGGATTCAAATATTTAAAAAAGAAAAGAAAAGTATTCCAAACGAGTTTAAACACCTCTTCTAAAAATATCATTGACTCTCATGTATGTAGGTCAAGAACAGTAAATTGCAAGTGTCTCACGTGTCAATCGGAAATCACTTTGTAAAATGTCTAATATAGAGATTGAAAATTGTAAGACATCATAGTTCCTGCAATGTCACCAATGCAAGTTATAGATCTCTCACTTTCTCACAAGTTACAAAAGATTTCAAAAAAGAAAAGAAAAGAAAAAGAAGACAATTTTGAGCCTGCCCTCTCCTCAAACTGATCACTTGAAAACAGTATTTTTTTGACCATACACTTGATTTTCAGTGTGATCAAGCACTTTCCTTGTCATCAACAAGTAAATGTATTTAACTCATCTAATCATGTGATGACACAAACAATAGTTTCTTTTTTTTGTTATTTTAAAACTTAATGAAATTTTTATCTTTCATCTGCCCTTTAAAGTTTGTAACAAATAGCAAAGCACTGATCTTTCTGACAAAACCACTTTTGTTCCTCTTCAAATTTGTTTAATCAAAAAAGAGAAGTGGATGTGTATCATGTAAATTTCATCATGGTTATTTGTTTGTACTCGAGACTAGAACACATACTTACTTTAAATAATCACATTATGTTAGCCTGGACCTTTAGTAAAAGGAGATAGTAACCATGGTCGTTTCATTGGCGATCAGTGTCTTTGCTACTTGAGGCAACATTCTTACGTACACTCGGTGGTTGTGGTGATGAGATCAATGGCTTGCAAGGCGCTAGCACTTGCGGTTGTTGTTGGCCCCAGAGTGGCGCCCGTGCTGCATATGGTCACTGCGGCGCTGTCGCTTGTTGCGAGACGAGCGAATTTCACGAGCCTTGTTGTTGCGCTCCAGGGAGTCGCGCTTGAGCTGCTGGCAGGCAGCCCGTTGTACCAGCTGTGGAGGGAGGGAAGGCATGGGTCAGTGTCGCCAACTTTTTAAAGATTAGTTTTTATTGCAATTTTTGTTGTAGGTATGGTAGCTTACCTTTTGTGCAGTTCGGTACTGGATGGATTGCTGTTGCTGCTGATAGGGAGAGAAGGCGTTGGGCCTTCTGGGCGAGGCCTGGACCGCCGTGGTTTGGGAGGGGTTCGGGCTGCTCGACCTGGTGGGGGAGGACGCCGACGCGGCCGCCCGTCTTTCGACCGGAGCGGCGGGGGTCGCCGACGGGGAGAGGGAGGCGGTTCTTGGTGGGGCGGAGGTGTCGGCCGAGGCAACCTGCTTGGAGGCGCCCAGGGAGGCGGCCGGGCGGTTGAGCTTCCTCATGTTGGCCCTGCCCTGGGGTGATCGGGGCGGAGGGGAAGCCCCCACGGAGCTAGACAGGGGGGTGGCGGGCGCCTGGGGGGCGGCGGACCGGTGGTACACCGACATGCTCGGGTGCTCGATGAGCAGGTTCTCCAGCGGAGAGGTTTCCAGAGGCACGGAGCCAGAGGTGAAGCACGGGGGAGGAGTCACAAACCAGGACTCCTCGAGCGGGCCCGGAGCTCCGAGCGCCGCCCCCGAGCTTGCACCCTCTTCGCTGTCGGGCCAGTGGTACGACGTGGTGCTCACGGCCAGGGTGAGCCTAGCCGCCGCGGCCGCCGCCGGAACGGTGACCGCCGGGGAGGTCGAGGGCGCACCCTCGGCGCAAACCTCGTCATCTGGAAGCAGAGAACGGGCAAGGTGACCACAGGCGTCGGGCAACACGTCTCGTCAGATGGCTCTGGGGCGAGAGCTTACCGGTCTTGTCGACGAGGAGCCAGTCGTCGTCCGCCTCCACGGCGCTCAGTCGGACGTCCACGCCGGGCAAGGACGCGGTAGGGACATGGGCGGTGATGGTCGCATCGCCCTCAGGCGCGGCGCCTGGCGCAGGCGCCGCCGCAGAGCCCGGGTAACCGAGCAGGTAGCTGGCCAGGCTGTTGAGCATCTTGAGCTGCAAGCAGAGAAGCGTGTGATGGTCAGACACCAAGTCGAGATTTTTATTATTATTATTGTTTACTGTTTGCACACTGCCACGTTGCGCGGTCAGCGTGCTCATGCCCGCGATTTGGCCGCTCGCCCGAAACTCCCTTTTTCTCCACTCTAATTTAAGAGGGGCGGCGATCCGTAAATACAGCTGACGCCTTGCCGCGGGCAGGCAGTGCGGGCAGGCAGTGCAGGCAGGCAGCCGCGGCTCTCGGCATGCACGCGAGAGTCACCCTCGCGCGCCCCGCGGGCCGGGCCTCCCTCCCCCCGTGATGCCATGCGAGGCAGGGGGTGGCGCTGCGTTGCGTAAGACGCTGGCCGTCCTTTGTAGCGGCCGCGGCCACCCCTCGTCGGCCTGCTCTGGTGCTGGCCGCGCCCGCTGCCGCCCGCTCCACCGAAGCGACAGGAATAACTCGGATCAGCTGCGCGAGTTCAAATCCCACATCCGTCAGAGTACTCGCTCGAAATACGCGAGCGCGGCACGGCAGCGTTCGCCCTCCATCCGACCGCTCGCGCGCGCCCGCGCCCCGCTTTGCTCGCCCTGCTCCCGGACATCTGTGGCAGCGGGCCTGTCGTCATGTTGATCAACAAAATGACCAGCGCACGGCGCCCATCCCGTCCGAGGCACACCAGACCGCGTGCCGGCGCTGCTCGCGTTGTTGCCAGGCCCCAAAGTGCGGCTCGTAATTTCACGCTCCCCAAGCCGCGGCGGCACAGCAGCGCACTTGTTCGTGACGGCCGGAGGAGAGTCTCGGGCATAGTGTAGGACTTCCCCCCGGATGTGTCGCTCGGGCTTCTTCCAGGCTCGCCCCGGCGCGCCTGACACCCGGGTGGCACCTGGCACCTGCCGTCGAGGGGGCCTATCGCCTGCCTATGATATATCGGTCAAGGTGTCCTGCGCGCGCGGGCCGTCCTGCCGCTGCTGCGCGGCGCGCGCGCTCGCGGATGAGGGGGCGTGGCGAGGCGCCGTCCCGAATGCCAAGGCCGAAGCGGCCCGCGGCGGCGCGTCTCCAGCGTCCGCCTCCCGCAGTGATGAGAATTGGCCTCCTCTCTGCGGCAGGAATCTTAATTTTCCGAAAAAGTATTTTTGGGAAATTTTTGTTTTATCTCTGGAAGTTTTCCTTATTTTTTTTATTTTTTTCCTATTCCAATTTCTCTAGTATCCCGATTTTTTCTGGACATTTTTTTCGGTGAAAGTTTCCAATTACTCTGAGGAATGTCTGCTTTTTAAAGTCCCTACACTGCGGTCCCGTGGTGGTCCCCCCACACTGCCGACCTCTGCACGACCGCTTCACCGAAGGGCCGTCGTAACGTCAGCACCGCGCTCGGCCCGGCCCGGTCGGGCGTTGGTCCAGCTGCGGCTGCCGGGCCGGGGCGCGCAGCTGCCGGGCAGCTGGCCCGCCTGCGGGCTAGACGGCCGCGAGACGCGGCGGCGGGTTCCGGGACGAGAGAAGCCGTCGTCGTATTACGAGTAATCGCGCGGGGCCCAAACCTCAAAACACCACGTAGCGTTTTTCTCCCGGTGGCGTGGCGTGGCGCGGCGGGACGGCCTACTGACTGCGGCCCCGCATCACCTGGAGGGTGACGGAGACGGCGGCCCGGCTTTAGGCCCGCCTGGCAACACCCGCCGCGGCCGCGTGCCCGCGTCGTGGTGGTGGTGGTGCGCGTCACGCCGGAGACCACCGCGGAGCCCGCGGAGCGAGCGGTCCATAGTGGGACGGGATGCTGACGTTACAAGCGAGAGGAGATCGTACAGATCGCGCTCGATTACCGCGCTCTAAGCAATTGACCCCCCCCCCCTCTCCCTTCTCCTTTTACCCTCTCCAGCAGTCTCTGCTCCACGGCCCTCTCTCCCCTCCTCTCCCCCTTCAAGGACGGGCCATCGCGAGACTCGTTTGTTTCCGGACCACACAGTACCGTGTGCTGACTGCTGCTTGCGTGTGAAGAAGTGTGTGTTTGTGTGTGTGAGAGTGTGTGCGCGCCCGAGACTTGTTCGGTTCGGCCAGACGCCTTCGACCGTATTTAGATCGATGGATTAAAATGAGTTTGGACCGAGTCGGACCCCGGACCCCGTCGCCTCGCGCCGCCCACCACACCTGCCGGCCGACTCGCACCACGATTTATTATCTGCTAAAATTATTATCGTTATTGTTTCCCCGTCCATACGACAGTCTCGTGATATTTTCATTTTTCTTTACGATTTCACATAAATTTCCCTCGCCGCCGCGCGCGCGCGTGTGTATATTTTTTGACACCGGCGTGTGTCCGCCGCCGTCGCGGTCACGCCCCGCCCAGCTGATAGCCTCTTCTTTAGCGCGGCGTCGCCACGGCGCTTATTAGTCATAGTCCCGCCGGGCTACGCCGGGACGGGCCGGGCGTGCCGGACCCGCGGGCGCGGGGGGCACCCGTCGCCGCCGCCGTGTGAAACAAGGTCGCGCCGGGCTGTACAGCAAGTATACTGTACTGCGGGAGGGGTACCCTGCGGAAAATGACTCGCGCTGTTGTATTGCCCCCCACCTCCCCTCCTCCCTTACCGGGTGCCCGGGTGCCGCCCCGCGCTGCTGCTGCTGCTGCTGCGTCACCCACATAAATAGGAAAACAAAACCAAACTTGCTGATCGCAAGCAGTTGGACCGTTTCACCTTGAGCACACCCGCGTGATGCAATGCGTTGCAGTGCGCCGCCGCCGCCGCCGCCGCCCTCTCTCGCGCACTCGTATTCTCAAATGCAAATATCCCCACTTTCGAGTTCAAGAGCGCCGCCGCCGCCGCGCGCCGATTGTCTCTCTCCCCGATTTTTGTTGTTTCCTGTGCAGCCCCTGGTATATGCCGCCTAAATGGGGAGCGTGCGACCCCCGCGTGCATATGCGCCCCGCCGACGCGCATGGGTAAGCAGGCGAGGCCCGGGGGGGAAGGACTAGACCGGAAGGGCGGCGCGCCCCTGGTATCGAAGCGCGCCAAGATTTAAAGCGCTGCGCCGCTGCGCGCGGCGGCCCGCACTATACCATCACTTGTAATAAATTAGCAAACTTGAATTTGCGGACCGTTTTCCGCGTTGTCCGCTGCGCATCGCGCGCCAGTGGCCGAGAAATAAAGATGCGAGGAGCGAGGTTCGTGGAGGAAGGGGGAGAGAGGGGGGCGGAGAGAGCGAGAGAG